GAAGGCCAAGGTAGGCAAGAATAAGGTAGGAAAGAATAAGGCAGGCAAGAATAAGGCCGATAAGAACTAGGCAGATAAGAAGAAGACCTATAAGCAATAGAGCAAAAAGCCTCGACGTATTATAGGTTATATGGTTGATGGGATAGTCGATGGAAGAGAATTACAGTCGATCGTTAGATTAATTACCTCTGCTTAAAAGAGTTATAATGATCGGATTAGGGCCGCCTAGGAGGAAATGCGGTCAAATTAGATAGGATAGTACTATGGTACCGTGAATGATGATAGCCAACATAACTTGTTCCGTCCCTTAACGGGTATCGATCTATCCTTCCCTTTCAAGTATGGACGCGATAGAAGATAGTATATAACCGAGCCGTTTGATTAGTAAAGTCCCACTAGTGTTGGATTTCCCGTACCTTCCCCTTAGGAAATATACCATCGTAGAGTACGAACGCCCTATCAACCCTCTAGACCGCGAAAAAGTGTGAACCTCGACCGCGACCCGCCTGAAAAATGGCACCCTGAGCATAGTACGATATCTTGGTGTACTGACGGTGGCGGTCTATGTAGCTTAGCGTTAATGGTATGAACGGGTCGGAAGGTTGACGGTGCCGGGTTACCTTAAGATTGTCGGCAAGGTGGACGATTATGGTGGGTGGCATTCGATCGAGGACTTATAAAATTGATATCTGTGTCCGTGTATATCTATCTATATTGGAGCAACCTTTAGTGGGTCGCTGGTGGGACTGGTGAGTTTGGAATAGCTCTAAAATATAGTCGTTGGTGGCGAGGCTCGAAATGGTGATGCTTAACCGTCGGGTTGGTACTAAGGCTACGCCGCAGCGGATCTTGTCGTCGTAGTAGTAGACTACCCGCGCGCATATATAAGAACATTGGGGCAAACCCGCTAGGAGGGTATCGATTACGCTGTGCAGGGGCAAAGGATTTGGCGTAGGTCCGAATTTGTCCGGGTCGTAGTTGTGTAGGGCGGTTCGGAGAGTATCCCTAGCCGCCCCGCGACTCTCGATGCTGAGGTTACCCTATTTCCTTAGCGATACCCTTCGTATAACCTAATTAGGCAAGGGCAGTTCTCGTCGATAGCTTAGTGTCACCTGGTCGAGCTGCACTCTCTAGGTATCGAGTATATTCCCGGTAAAGATAAGGTAGTCAATAGCGTAGGAGTTTTGCGACTAGACCGGCCCATAGAGATATCTTTTCACACTATCACCTTTACTTAAAGGGACAGTACTATCGACGTAGTTCTAAGTCGCCTAAAAATCTTGGAAGACGGAGCATTCCTTGCCCTTAATGTACTCGAATCGTCTTTCGTTGGGTAGCGCGTTAACGCCACGTTTAACGGCTCGATAACCGAGCTACTCGAGGATATATAAGGTAGTTGGGATTCGCTTATAGAGGGTCTCGATATCTAAGGCGGGGGCGGAGAGATCGATATCTAAAATATTTTTCCGTGATACTCTATACAACGCTCAGTTAGATATGGTCTACTCAAGGTCCCTCTAATAACTTATCGTCGCCACTTACTCTTTCTAATGGTTATTAAGCCACCAAACCGCCCCGACCGCGAAAAGCCAAGGTATACTTCAATTGGCGCGATTGTCGTCGTCGAAGTCTTTAGATCCGGGAGCTCGTGGTCAAAGATCTCGTCCAGTGGCCAGGCAGTAATAAGTAGGGCGACAAAAACACCTCGACCAAGCATAAGTCCGAAGGTAAGGGATTAGAGGTCTAGCATACCAATATACCAAGGCCACTATTTTGGCCGCTACATTTACACATCTAACCGCGCGTCTTTGACTTCCCCAGGCACTCCCACCCTCTCTTCAGATTTCTCTACTGTGTTCCATAACCTTTCTCATTTTTTAAACCCAGTGACCCTCTCACACCCCGATATAGCCGTCATATCTTCAAACACACCTACCCGCGCCCCTTCCACTATAGCCGACTACCCTTTCTCTCAGCTAAAGAACCTTATGGATAAAAGGGCCTACTACCACCTAGTCTACATTGACCAAGGAGAAGTGGAAGGAGCATAGAAAGCCCGAGTATCGGTAAAGACCGGTAGTGATACCGAGAGCCCTAAACTAGCGGCTAAGGCGTGCGCACTAAAGAAGTTATAAGCAAAGAAGCTCGCCGCCGGCGTAGTGATATAGAAGATTAACGAGCGTAAGTCGTCTATGTCCTGGACTACTTAGGGCGATGGATGGGTGGTAATTAACGCGTCGAGTAGCTCTTATCTCTCTCTCCGACACGGATTCTAGATATTCCTCCGATGGCACGGTTGACGTCGTCGATATCGAACCAAAAATAACGAAGAAGCAAAAAAGAGTGCTAGAATAGGCTAGGGCTTATCTAAAGGCGCTCAAGGAATCCGCGCTTAAAGGACGTATTATCCTCTCGATCGACCTCGAAGTGACAATTTCCACCTCGGGCGACGAGGTCTTAGAGGTCGGCATTGCTTAGGCATATCCATCCTAGCCGTGCACTTCGGAGCGTTGTTATTATCTAGTCGTCGAGGAAAATACTTACCTATATAATGCTAGCCGGTATAACCAGGTAGACAATTTTCTGTTTGGTCGTAGCGAACGCGTCAAGAAGGAGGACGTCATCGGGCGTATACACCGGATTATGCAGCCCCTGCTGGTATAGGCCAACAATGTTTGCCTCGTGGGCCATACCATCGGCAACGATCTTAAATGGCTATGTAACGTCAACGTCGACGTGGGCGAGATGCTGGCTAGAGTCGAAATCTACGACATCGGTCAAGCCTACTAGGCAATGAGAGGAGAGACCCAGCTAACTAGCTTGGGCCGTATAATGGCTGCGTACTATCTCCTAAACCAGAACGCCTATAATGCGGGCAACGATGTATACTACGGTATATAAATATATAGGAAGATGATAGAGACTTTTGAAGCCGTGCAGTATTCAGCCATAGCGAACGACGGTGCTGCGGGCTGAATACTTCGACCTTGCTAGGTGTTCGTCGATTATACGCTCGAGCCTGGATTCTTTATATACGCGTATAGATCTTATTGGTTTTATTAGATTAGAATAATAAAAGGTAAAGCCTACACCGTATTATGTAGAGTTAGCCTATTAAGTCTAGCTCCCTTTTCCCTTTCCGTGCCTATGTCGATGCTAGTCCAATTGACTACCTCTACGTATATCGTCATTTAGAAGAAGTTGTCCTGAAGATGATGACTAAAATCCATGAAAGAGGTCCACACATAAACCCCCAATTGGTGGTTTTGGTCACTATATCGTGGGAGGGATCTACTTGGTAGCCTCGAGTTGATTAGGGTGGTTTCGAGGCTGGAAGGAGGTTGAGGAGACTGCCATATCAATATGACAGGGTGGCAAGTAGTAAGGGGAAGTTTGTCGAGAGGGGGACGAGTGTCGAGGAGTCTACTATATTTATATGATAGGGTAGTAAGTATTAAAATCGACCGTTATAGTAAAGTTGAATAATCTGGTCAATCTCTTGAGAAATGAAGCTGCCGAAGAAGGCACTGCGATTATATAATTGATATGAATTTATTAAAGCGCCTCCTGATCTTCTAGCACTTTGGATGGATATTTTGACCTACTCCCGAATGCGCTAGTATCTCTACTTCAATTTTTGATTTAGTTATCCTTATCAAAGGTTATTAAATCGATGACGCTATCCGTGACGGTCTCGGCCTTCTCTTGATACTTAGGCTGCTTATTGCCTTCAACGGAGGTGGACGATACAACGGAGGTGGATAATAACGACTCGTATTCCGACTCGCTGCCGCTTTCGAGGAGATCGTTCCGAAACTAAGGTTCTTTATCTAGTAAGGTCTTAGTTAGGTTGTATTGTAGGGTTAAGTCGGAGTTGGGAGTTAATGGACTCACCACTCGGCTCGGAGAGGACGGCACACTGAAGAGTATACATCGCGGTTAAGGCGACCTTAGCTTTCGCGTACTTCTTACCCCTACTAGTGGCGGTAAACGTCTAGGTTTGTAGGCGGCTAATGTAATATACAACAGTGATAGTCGCTCGATAATATCCACTGCCGACTTCCTTAAACTAGAATTCTATATTCTATAGATAGCGTTTCTACCGTAGCTGATTTAATTGTGAGACGGGATAGTCGGTACTAAATACAAGGTATAGTATAATAGAAAGAATCGATTGGAGAAGAGACCGATATATAGTATAATGGGGGTAGACGGGACTATATCTAATAAAAAAGAAAATAGTTTAGTGGTGGTGGTCTCGACATTACGATATTGATACATCCCAATTCTTTTCGGGCCTTGGCGCAATATACCGGTATAACAATCAATCTTCCCCGCCGTGGTCTACTATACTTATATAGTAGGCCACTCGACAGCCTTCTATACTCGACAATCTTCCCTACCTTAATCCACTATACTGATATAGTAGCCCCTCGATATCCTAACCCTCGTCGTCCTTTTCTACGGCTAAGCCGTCCGAAGGGTGGTCTAGCCAGTCCTTCTATAATAGCGATAAGCGGGATATATTGTATTAAAGGACGAGAAAGGCTCGCTTAGCTATTTAGATCAATACTTACTAGTGGTAGATTGCCGTATATAGACTAAATTTTACTTTGTTAGATTGTTGGACTAATATACTTGGGGGGGGGGGGGAGGGGAGGGGAATCGAAGATATCACTGATATATAGTAGATATTGTTCAAGAACGTTTCTGGCTCAATTCATATTGTTTTCTAGATGAAATAACGGGCATACTCTATGGGTATAACTCCATCATCCTATTTCCAAGAGTTATAGTGGCCGAAATCGTAGCTAGACGGCTCTATCTTATGGCTAGGTGAGAAGCTATCACTTTATAGATTTAGCACTAGTCTTCTTGCCGCGACCTTTCTTGCTTGCTTTCGTATATTTGCCTCCACGCTTACGTTTGTTGCTAGCGGTTAGGCTCGGTATCAACTTGGTTGAGTAGGGCCTTAACAAGACTTTACCTTTTACTGTGTCTTATAGTGTTCGACTAAGTGACTTCTTACTCGGCTGCTCGATGGGTGTGGCCTTTGATAAGCGAAAGGTAACCTTCGCCTTCTTCTTCGGCTTCACTTCATCGGTACTGTTATCACTCTCTTCTGCTCTAGATTGCTCATTGTTATCACTGCTGCCCTTATCATCTTCCTCGTCGCTCTTATTATCTTCCTTATCGCTCTCATTATCTTCCTCGTCGCTTTTATCTATATCTTCGTTGGTGCTGCTATCGTCTCGCTCGGCGTTCTCTAAGCCTTCTAAATTGTTAGTTATTAGTATAAGGGAAGAGAAGGACGATAGTTCTTACAGCGTATAATACACTTATAGACCTTCGTTCGCGCTGCCTAACTATCCTTGGCCCCTTTGATATACTGCTGTAATAATGCGTAGACCTATATCACCGAAGTTAAACGTATATTATAATGATACTCTTCGATAATTTCCTACCTTACGAACAGACTCCTTAACATCGTTAAGGTTAACCTTCTTTGCCTTCGCTATCGTATATCGAAAGCAATATTTGATAGACTCACTGTATCGCGAAACTCTAGACGACCTTTAAATGATAGACGATAACTAGGTAGAATAGGGTTTGTAAAAATTTAGGGTAGGAAGATAACACCTTTACGGTACCAAATTTATGCTAAGGCCGCTATTAATTAGGTAACCGAGGAGTACGCCCTACTATTACGAAGGATCTAAAGGTTAGGTAGAGTGTGGTTGAAGTCTCCAATGAGCATTTTATTCAGCCAATTCTAAGAATCTTATGTACGAGGTCTGGTTCGAGGAGGTAAACGAACTCGATCAGCCACTGTAGCAGCATCCTAACTTTTAAGTCAAGCCTTTTTGGGCTTCTTGGTGGGAGTAGAGTAGATCTCTATATCCTCGTTGGCCTTATCGATGGCTCGTTGTCTAATTTTCTTACCCTTGGTCTTCTTGGTCTTCTTGTTCTTCTTGTTCTTCTTCTTCTTTTCCTTTGCCTTCTCCCGCTTTAAGGCCTTCACCTCCGACTTAATGCTCTTAATACGTTTCTTCTCTCTTTTTAGCTTCTTCTCGGCGGAGGTGATTTTGGTGGTGGTAGAGGCGTTAGACGAGACGTCGTCGGAAGAGACGCGGGAACCTATCTCACTGGTCTTACTGGTCTTATTGGTTCTATTGATATCACTGGAGCTAGACGATTCCGATTCGTCTTCGTCCGAGTAGGTGTTACTGGTGTCTTCCTCTAGACGACGACGCTTGGTACTTCTAGCTAGGCAAATAATTAGTAAATACTCGAGTCGAATCAACACTCTCTAACGTACTGCGTAACTTAGGCGTATTCGAGGTACCCTAGGACTTGGTGGGGGTAGAACGGGCGACTTTGGTTTTAGTGGGGGTCTTTAGGCTCTTTATCTATTGTTAAAATTAGCTAAGAAAATAATATTTCCGAGGGGGCGGGGAGGTTAGGTTTATACGATGGCCTTCGCCTTAGTCTTTAAACTAGATATTTCGTTAGAGTCGCGTTTGTAGATAGTAGAAGGGTCAATGTATTTAACTGTAAGATGAAATGAAGAATAACGATAAGGAATTAATTTTGTTTAACTCTTAGACTTCAAAATTTGGGTGAAATACCTTAGCTATAGATGGCTTAGCGGTTGAGTATACCGGTATAGCACACTCGGGCTATATTGTTATCCCAATTTTTCACGATGGCTTAGCGTAATATATCGGTATAACACGCCTATTGTTGTTGTTGTTATTGATATCCTAATTAATTTTCCTGGACACTCCCACCTTTCTATCTCTCGGCAAGACATCGTGACTCGCTTTGATTCTCTTGATCAATACAATTCTTCTTGCGATATTGACGATTACCTTCTCCCCCTTAATATGGCGGCGACTATACCAAATAGAAATCGGACTCAGTAGGTAGCCGACGAAGATAGGATTATCCTACTAAACTCGCCACTAAAGGTAGAATAAGCAATAATTATCAGTTAGATAAGATAGATCCGCGCGTCCCGCAATAACTCGTATACGCGGCCACTAATACTCGTCCTATATAGGTAGTACGATAGATCGACGCAAGCCTATAAGACGCAAGCGACCTCGAGAAAGAAGCTTTCCTTACCGCCGTAGTTTACTTTACCGACCGGTGCGCCGTGAACCATGAGCTCGAGATTGACCTTAGCGAGGCTCTAGACCGGCCGGACGCGGCGTCGAACGATAAGCTAGATAACGACGGTCGCGAGCTCGGAACCCGCGGGCGTATCGATCCGGCCAGTAACTCGGACGGTGACTCGGACAGTGCAAAGGACAATGAAGAGTAGGCTCGTAGACTAGAACTTCGCAAACTAACCTTAAGTCTTACCCCGGACTATGACGTGGAAACTATAACTATACGGCGTGACGAGTTTGTCAATTTACTCGCGAGAGTGAACGTGTCCTAGTCTGCCGTCTTCCTTGACTAGTAAGGTCGATTGAAGACCTACGCCTCGAGGGTTAGCACGTTCAACGATAAGGATATCCGTCGCATTGCTAACTTTCTCTTTCACGATATACTAGGGGCCCCTACGTATACCCGTATAGTGAACCTCACTAAGTGGTAGAACGACACAGTTAATGATGATGCTGCGCTGGCGGAAAGAGCCAGGCTAGCTAGCCGACAGGTACGATATCCGAAGGTAGCCCGTAAGCTGTTTAATGGCTAGGCGGCAGCTGAGCAGTCCACGCTACGGACGAACAATTTCTATCGGGCGTTGACGGGCAACCTGGGCCGCGTTCGAGTCCTACAATAGTATCTGAAGCTAGTTAAGTATGGGAAGAGGAACCTAAAGGGTGTTCCCGAAGCTATATAAGCCGTCGGCGTACCTATGAAGGGTCGGTGGACCTCTCGCATTAAGCAGTATATCCAGATTATTCTAGGCCTACTAGGTTAGAACTAGCTCAATAACCGGCTATAAGAGGCGCAAATAGTGAGCTCTTTCTCGTCGCGCTAGGGCGTAGGCGTAGTTGTCCTAATGCCGGTTAACTTTATCTCCTTGTAAGTCTCCCTATACCTCGGAGCCCCTGCTGAACGGTACTAATATAACCTTAGCTTCCGACCCTTTAGCGTAGTTAAAGTAAATACCATCGCGAAGACCTTATAGAAGGTTCTTCGTACAGAGCCACTTATGGAGATATACGATAACCTTAATCAGTATATTATTAACGCCGTTAGAAACGGCAGACCCCTTAAGGTCAAGTTTACGACTATACGAGGAGATAACCTATAAAGCCGGATTGAGAACGCTCTGTTCGAGACTAATGGTGACGACGACGCCGAGATAGTGGACGCGGAGAACTAAGAGAAGCTTGAGGATAGCATTAACCGCCGTTGCGGCTAGCTCGTTAGGGTCAGAAGTCTGTGCGTATAATCGTTTACCTATGGTGACCAAGGGGTAAGGAAAGGGTCTAGCTTAACTAGAGCTCACCTATCATTGTATATTAGAGGTCGATACGAAAGAACTATACCCCTAGCTAGTGTAATATAAACTCTATAAACAATACCCTTAGGCATTAGTATAAAGGACTTAATCGATCGATACGCTTTATAAGGGTCTACTATATTAGTATAACAGACTAAGTAAAGGAAGATTGTCGATAGGGGAATATTGTTGAAACATTTAATCCTAGATCTTAACCCTTAAGCATTTAGCATCGAGCATACAGCGATATACACCATCAAGCATATAGCGAGTATATAGCATCAAGCCTATACAGCGAGCACGTAGCATCAAGTATATAGCGAGTATACAGCATTAAGCATACAGCATTAAGCATACAGCATTAAGCATACAGCATCAAACATGCAGCATTAAGCATATAGCATCAAGCATACAGCATCAAGCACGCAGCATATAGCATATAGCACCAAGCACGTAGCATCAAGTATACAGCGAGTATACAGTATCAAGTATGTAGTATCAAGTACGCAGTATACAGCATATAGCATCAAGCATACAGCATCAAGCATATAGCATCAAGTATACAGCATCAAGTATATAGCATCAAGCATTCAGCGAGCATACAGTACCAAGGATATAGCGAGTATACAGCATCAAGTATAGAGCGAGTATATAGCATCAAGCATAGAACGAGTATATAGCGTCAAGCATAGAGCGAGTATATAATATTAAGTATATAGCGAGCATACAGCGTATAGCACCAAGCATATAGTATATAGTACGAAGTATATAGTACGAAGCATATAGCACTATATAGCGAGTATACAATATCAAGTATATAGCGAGTATATAGTATCAAGCATAGAGCGAGTATATAGTATCAAGCATACAACGAGTATACAGCATCAAGCACCAAGTATATAGTATATAGTACGAAGCACATAGCACTATATATACAATATTAAGCACGTAGTATCTAGTATACATTATACAGCACCAAGTATAGTATACTTTCAATAATATATCACACACTATACAGCACGTAGCATATAGCATAAAGTATACAGTATTAAGTATATAGCATACACGTAGCATCGAGCATATAGTACCATATATACAGCGCTAAGTATACAGCACTAAGTACGCAGCATTAAGTATACTTGCTTTCAAGGATATAGTACACCATTTTATCTAAGGCTTGGCATACTAATATGGTGGACGTCCCTTTCTCTATGCCAACCCTACGCCCAGTCTTTATTTTGCTTTACTTTATAATCGCCGCGACTCTTCCTCCCGTAAGACCTCGACGTTCGACTCTTTGCCCATTTCTCGTCCATCCCTTATATTTCTAACATACTTTGGAGTTCCTTGCCCCGGTTCCTAACTATGCCCCTTATCGAAGCCGTTAGTACAATCTACTGGGTTAATCGCAATCCCTAGGCGTATATATAAAAACACCTATTATCTTCACCGCTAACGAAGCCCGTAGAGCTATACGTGCCGGCGTCTTGGTTTAGGATATAAAGGCGAGTAGAGTAGCACTCGAGAACTTCTGCACGAAAGTCGGCCTTCGCCTAGGCGATCTCCGTGGCTATGATCATCTCGCCCTCGCTCGAGGAATCAACCCGATGCCATTAGAAAAGAATTTCCAGTACTCCGAGGGCACCGTGGCGTCTGTCCTTCGCCCTATTATAGCTACGTAGGATCAACTAGATAGAACTATTAACCCGAGTCGAGACGACGAGAAACAGAGGTACCGATATAGTCCAATCTAGTCAGACTTATCGTGTACTGTTGACTGTGCCATTTTTGTCGGGCTGATACTCAACGTTGGAAGGATACAGATCGACCAAGTCAGCCCGCAAGATCTCCTGAAGGAGCCTATCCCGTCTTTCCTGATGCGCAAGATCGTGTCTCGGCATTAGGGCTAGTTGGACGACATCGCCCGTAGCAAGATGCGCGATTATCTCCGTGACGAGCTATATCGTTTCGACCCGATATCCTTCTATCCACCACTAAAGGGGAATCCCGTGGCTAACGTTATCAATACATGCTTCCACGGGGTCCCGCAGGTGAGCTATACAAGTGTCAGGGTAACTCGATACTGTGACGGCGTATATATGGTCAACAACGCCACCGTACCCCGGCGGAATAACTGTATCTATATTGGTTAAGTACCGGTCGGTGCTTACGTTCAAGCACGGTTCAGCCCGACGATAGACCAAGTGTCGGGTCGGGCCAAAGATATACTCTACGCCTATAACGAGGGGATATATCTACATTCTATAACGACACAGCTCATAATCCTAGATAGGATACCTTCACATCTCGTCGTGCACGTCGCTAGGGTCGTGGATAGTCCCTCTACTCGATCCGCCGACCCGTACCAAGGCATCACCATCACTTACCTCGACCGCCGCCACCAGCCACGCTCAATTTCATATCGCGCCGTTGGTGCTGTACTGGCCGAGGACACAGCCCTCGCCACCCACTTTCTCGTTGTCTGGCACCTAGAAGACGAACACGTTCTCTACGACGGCATGAAAAACAACGGGAGGATCCGAAGGATTCAAGGCTAGTGGGATCTAGGGATAGCATCGTGCCGTATCGTTACCATTTTCTTTCAGGTAGAAAGTGCGGTCGGTACTAGGCGTCAAGGATAGTATGCACCATATTGCTCGAGCACCCAAGGGTACGGCTCTATAAAGATCGTAGGCCGGCCAAGGCTGCCCGCCAGCGCTGCCTAGAGGTCGTCTAAAACAACGCTATATCTTCGTCCACATCCACGTCACTAGCCTCGAGGTGGTCTTGCACGACTTCTTCATCTATATCTGCGTCCATCTCTACGTTACTAGCCTCGAGGTGGTCTTGCACGACTTCTTTATCTATATCTTCGTCTATCTCCACGTTACTAGTATCGGGGTAGTCTTATACGACTTCTTTATCCATAATATCAGTATCCTACGTCTTATTATCCGTCCATTCCGCCTCGATAGCCGTAACCTATACATCACTCGCCATACAGATATCGTCGTCGATAACACCTTTCTAATTCACACTAGCGTAGTTGATACAAATCACCCGCCCTCCACGCTCGTAGACGACTCGGGCAAATTCTTGGACCATTTGCCGGCAGCCCGGTACTTTGAGCGCCGTCCCCATCACCAGTAGCACGTCGGGCTTAAGCTCGATATCCTCGTGCTAACGCTCTACCAACTAAGTACTGTCGGGATACTCTTCACCGTACAGTATAATATTCGGTCGTAGTGTGCCTATGGTCTAGGTTCGTTTACCCTTGGCCACCCGCTCTATATACAACCGCCAATAGTCTAGGCACGGCGTCGATATGCCTTCACTTACGTCTTTCTATATCTCGTCCGTCCAGGGTGACCGATATACGTATATTATATAGCGTAGTGACATTATATTACCGTGTAGCTAAATGACACTATAGCTTGCTCCACTGCCTTTGCTATCCGACGCAGTAGAACTAGTCTATACGGTGTATAGGCCGATACGCTGCTCGAGATGATCGACGTTCTGCGTGTAGCAGCGGATTAGAAGCCCTCGGTCGTTAAGCCGTCGAAGGAAACGGTGCGTTCGACTACCATCCCGAATACGGTAAATTCGATGCTTTAGCGCCGCGGCGAATTGATAGAAAACGGGCTGTGTTACTAGCTATGCCAGTATATCGACGTCAAACAAGTCTCGACCTCTGACCTTGGCGGCCATTGGTAATACGTTGATTTCATTATAGAGGTCGTTGATAAGAGTATTCGCCTTAGTATTATGCATGCCACCTAGTGAGCGGAAATCCTATGCTCAAAATATTAGTTGCTATAGCCCAATCTCTCGGAGACTTTGTCCCGTACCAGAAGGCCGCAGCTGCGACTAATCCCGGCACCCGTGATAACAACACAGCGAGCGCCGTGTAGGAGCGACAACATTACCGACAGTCGATCTATATCGTTACTAGTGATTACTTCAGGATCCATTGTAGTAATAGGCGCAGTACAATATCGGTTCGAGTCATCGACGGCCCTAATCCATATCCTAGAAAACTAGGGAGCGATATTTCAAAACAAACACATTCACGTGATCCTTTTATCACTTGTATATACCGGTATACTAAGGCGGTCGTGGACGCCCTAGGCCACGGGCACGTAACCCAAAGCGCCTACGGTAGGGTTTCAGGGTATTTGCTCACTCGACAGCATATATTACCCCTTACTTCCATAGTGTATCCCTTTCCCTCCCCCTTAGCTTATCACTCCTATATCTACACTTCTCTTCCTCCTGGGTATCCGGGCGATTTCGTTATGGCCGCGTCTTCCTCCTCGACCTCTAGTCGCTAGATTGTAGAGGAGGTCTATACTATCTCGTATCGAGTGTCTGTCTTTCCCCTACTAATCTCTTACATTAGAGTCTCCGAGAGGCCCTAGCCGCCGTTGTACGTTATGAGCCTACCGGAGAGGCTATCTACCGTCTAGTATACAAAGGTAGGACCGCGACTAGGAACCCTACCCCGAAAGTCGTAGTGCTAAACAACGGTAGTGGTCTTTACTAGACGTATCCCTCCACCCCCCTTAGCGACCGTAAGGTCGGCTATAACCTCTTGTCCCTCGATCATAAACCGTCCACTTCCGAGGAAGCGGATAGAAGACCGGTGTCCTCCTAACGAATCGACTCGCCCGGCTGCGAGCGTCCCTTCGACGGGAACGAAGACGTTACCTACTCCATCCCTAACCTCGAACGAGGCCGCGAAGCTAGCGAGGGAGAATAGCGACGAGGACGACAAGGAACCTCGCCGTATAAAGCGCGTCCGACTGGCGGGTTATGAGCTACCGGGTACAAACGGTGCACCTAATCGCCTAAAGGGCTTGGCTATTGCGACGCGGACACCCGAAAAGCACGGATACGAGAAGAAAAATAGGAAATTAAGAAAGATATTATAGATATAGGTATAAATATATATTTATCGAGATAATATTAATGTCCATTATATTGATATGATAAAGGTTGGATAATAGGCGCTCGTCTTGGGCGGTGGCCCGTGCCCACCCGGTGTACTTTAGGCCTACACTAGCTATAGCCTTAGGGGCCGGCTCGCTAATACCTACCTCGTAAAGTTGTCCTGCTCCCGTAGAAAAGAGTTAGCTAGCGTATACATATTTAGGGTAGGCGCTATCCTACGATAAGGTTACCTAAATAGACCCCGCCCACTATACACTCAACGCCTTTCACTTTTCTTCGTTGTTGTTCTAAATTCTACCTTCGCGTCCGACGTCCTTGACTTAATTCCAACGTCCTTCTATAAGTGACAATAGATAGTCATAGCCACTAGAATGTAGGTACTACCTCAAAGACCCTCACTATCTCATTCTGATCTATCAACCAGATCCCTATAGCCGCTATTCAACGCCTACGCCAGTATATAGAACAACTCCTCGAACACGACCCTTCCGGCGCTTCTATCTTACTCCTAGCTTCTAAAGATAAGCGTATCCTAATGTTTCGAACGGTCTCTCGTAGCTAACTGCGACTCTAGCCGTCTACGGACGAGCTCATCGAGAGCTCCCCGCGAGCGCCGACGTCGATACTCTACCCGTACCCTACTAGATATAGGTGGCGCAGTCTCGTCTCCCGCCGTCCCCAACAGTGAAAGACAATCAGATAAAGTCATAAAAGAGTAGGTATACGCGAGATAATAACGATCGTCCCAGCCCGGTCCACGGTGCACGACCACCGTTACCGAATCGAGAAAGGTCGATCGATTATAACGACCACGGCTCGGGGGAGAATACTAGGACCCACGACAACGATATCGTCGACCCGTTACGTCGATCTAATACTCCTCTTACACGGCTATCGCCTTAGACGATTACGCCTCAGTATCGTTAAGTGCTAGAATTGCTATACCTACCCACCCTCCCGCAGGATAAGGACGGTCTAAAGGCAGGCGAACCGGCTAGCGAGACTCACTCGGAATCGAGTATCGCCACTCCTGACTCCTCCTATATGATCGACGAAACAGATCTCTTCCGTCGCATTGACGAGTTAATCAATAAAAGCCCGATACTGTCTCCCGTACTGACCAGTTATATCGAAAAGACTCCAACGGAAACCTCAAAGCCCGCGTCTCTACGTTTTGGACCATACCCTCCAGATCTGCTACCCTCTTCACGATCTAAAGACACCACGACTCCGACCGCCACGGTCGTATTAGGACGTTCGACCTACGCCACCGTTAAGACTCGCTCGTCGATCGCGCGTCGCGCGAAACCGCGCCGAAAAGCTATCAAGGACTCGGAAGAGACGCCATTGCAACCCCCTAGCCGATTAGGTCCGGTCATACAGTCACCACAGAAAAACACATTAAATTCTAAAGAAGGTTAGGCGAGCTCTTCGGCGATCTATATTCGATCGCTAAGAGTAACAATGTCTCCTAATGAGACGACGCCACCCGTTACTACTACGAAGAAGAGACCGTTGCCGACCCCTTCCTCCCCTGGTAGACAGGTCAGGTTCGGCCGAAAGTCGAAACGACTACGCCTTGAAGTCGAACCTTAAGCCGGTGCGAATGGATTTGAGACGCTACTTTTAGTATCTCGTCTTATCGACGATATTATATAGACGTCTTTAATTCTCTATCCATATCAGATAGTTACCCTATAAACCTAATAGCTAGGTAGCCTCGGCCGGTGAGCATAAGCATTATATGACGGCGCACTTAATTACCTAATAAGATTAACCGAACATCGACTCTTGGCGAATATTTTCTAAAAGTTATTTATTCGCGACCTTCCTTCTTATCACCACTTATATCGGGCCTCGGTCTTACATCGAGTGTTCCTACGCAACGAGTCTAACGACTGTCGACTATATCGTACCCAACATGGCGGCATCCTCTCGTCTAGAGTACTTAGAGTATATCGGTAAACCCGACGATACGATAATAGTGGTATTGACAACCACTGTAGTTCTAGTAGAAGATACTAACTTTCTCTTTAGATTATGGACAACCTTAAGGAGTTGCTGGACCGTTCTACCGAAAAGCTTACCCTGGCTCGATCACTCTATCGATTCACTATAATAATCGCTAATAAGCATGCTCTCCCTATAGAGTCTATCCAATATGATATAGTACCGCCAGCCAAAAGACCGAAGGCGTTCGGGGAAAAATTTACGCCGAAGAGAGTTCGTTCTAATTCAACACTAACGACCACCTCACGTCCCCGAGAGATATCTACGGTAACCGACGGCGGTCTGGGCAATAATAACCTATCCGCTAGAATACCCTTACAAAGCGACGCTCGAATACAAGGTTAGCTACGCGATATTCCCGCGCTAGGGTTAGGACGTCTATCTACGCGTAACGCACAATCCGCTTAATAGAGGAGTGACCGTAGCGACTCGGGGACTCGTGATCGCAATGACGAGGTCGGGGGCGACCAAAGTCCTAGCGAAAGAAATTACGAGCATAGAGGCGACGAGGACGGCGATAGCGGCACCGACGACGAAAACGACGACCAAGACGACGTCTACATTCAAAAGCGTCTTCAAAATGGCCTTCTACCCATCGCACCCCGTTCGGATATTAGCACCATTAGGGAGAGGCGGACATAGTTCTATCGCCGTCTACGCTCGTTGGAAGTCCCTATCTAGCGGAACAATAAGTGGGTTACCATGGGGTTCACGGCCACCGAGATTATCGAGATCACTAATTTCATGTTCTCCGACCTCACTGGACCTAAGGCCGTAGAGCGTATCGCGTTACTCGTAGAGCGCTACTCCTAAGACCGAGGTGATATACCCGACACACGAAGCTCCAAGCGCGCCGAAGAGGCCGTAGACTACTCGGACACTCCCTCCCAGCTCTAGGCCTTTTTTAAAACCTATTCTCGGGCGGCCGCCAAGAAGGATTATAACAATATCCTCGAATATGTCTATTAGCTATAGCGTAACCTCGAGTTCCTTACCGAGCTAAATCGACTCTAAGAATTAACTAAGCGGAAGGACCCTAAAATCCTAAAGCTGTTTAACAACCACAACATTAAGTCTAAGTCCGGATCGACCTTGATGAATCGACTAACCAGCTATATCTACGACATACTTAGCATCAAAAAAAATGAATTCTGGAACTTTGTTTCGGGTATTTAGGCAACGTAGGGTCTCGTGTCCGCCGTTGGAAGTCCTAGAGTCATTATCCTTATCCCGCTATTACGTAGTCGGAAGTTCGTTTATTCCCTTACCTCTACTACCTTAGTTTTTATCTCGGCTAATAATCTCTAGGCTATACAAATAGGGCAATTAAAGAATAGCGTATATTTACGAGCTCTTCGGGTCGATTAACCTAGAATTTCGTCGACTCTATTAAATGCTCGACACTACGATCCTACAACCTATTCTCGCTTATAAGAGTCTATCGATAATGGAACTCTCGTTAATTCTAGATAAGTTACTAGAGGAGCATATAGACTTGGCGTTAACGGGTATATAGGGACGAATCGTCGAAGTTGACTCTACGGATTCGGATAGATCTGACGCGATAGACAATAATGACGGAATCGAGGAAGTATCGATAGCGTCGGCTAGATCTAATGTGATCGACGAATAATGCTTCGTAACTCGTCTACCTATCTTGCGGTAGTGACATATAATAGAGTTAAGTTTTATACTTACTACGAGATTGTTAAGACGCCTAGCCCGTTGCTCGTCAACACTAGTATATTAATATGCTAGAGTCCTTTAAAGCGGCGATTGTTTAAACTTATTTCAAGGGCGTGTATGGCATAACCCTATAAAAGACGTGTCCTCCTCTTCTCGCGTCCTAGGATCCTTATACTTCTAACCTTTAACTCCCTTCCCCAAAGTACTATCCGCTGGAGAGCCCTTTTTGAGTGATATTGTTATCGTTTCTATTTTATCCTCAATGGCTTCGTCCACCTTAGGAAGGACGTCGAGATCACTAATATCCTATCGTCGTCGACCACTACGCCTAGATGGCTAGTATCGACAAATATTTAGCCCCTATTTCGGTTCTTCTAGTAACTCGGAGTCTACCACCTTTCGATCGATACGAAGCTCGGTAGAGACTACACCCTTAACCACACGAGATTCGGCGAGGCTATATCGGCTGAAGAATAGGACTGAGGCCTTTCAACCACTAGTCTCTCTATACATATCGACAGCTACCCCCTTCTCGGTCTGCCACCTTACTTGGCTAGTAAGATATAGTTAAGCACACTTTCTCTAACCATCTATAGTTTCATATCCTTGGAGACTCGTCTTATCCTATCGAGATTCCCGAGTCGCCCCCAGACTCCCCCACCTACTCCTAGTATACGGATCCCCACCGACGCCTAGGTCCCAGCGCAGTTCTACCCCTTATCCAGCCCAAAAATGGAGAACATTTTAAGGAGGAGAAAAAAGACGGGCATATAAGGGAGACCGAAACCCTGGCCGATCATCCCTGTCTAGCTATATATCCTATTGGCGATGATACTGTGATGGGGCTGAACCAGGACTACGACGACGAGGTAGGCCCCTCGCTCATCGAGTCCATGCCCGCACGGTCGAGCCTACGATAAAGAGCCTATCGGCTAGCGTCTTGTATCCTAACTCTAGGGGCTTCTCGTCCACGGCCGTCTCTCGAATTTTAGGGTCTCTATACCGACGACGATGGTCGTAACAATGGCCGTAACGATAGTCGTAACGAGAGTAGTGACGAGAGTGGTGACGAGGCCACCACCGACAATAACTCTATCGGGTCCATATTAGATAGGTCTATAATAGACGATTTCGACGTTCCCGACGTAGACAACGTCGATATTGTAATAGAAGAAATCTTCCGCCTTCTTATGGGCGATTGTGGATATAGGCCCGAGCAACACGAGGACGACTCTATATCCTATATAGCCGATGGGTTGGACAACCACTGCGATCTCTCGGCTATATACCTCGACGAACACGGACGGCAACGACTCGGATCGCACCCTCGAGTCGGTCTTCGTTATGACGGATTTCTATCCAACGAGGGACACGCCCGGCACGTATACCTCGTAGCCTCCACGTTGCGGTCTCTCTTCGAAGGACGTCTAGACGAGGAGACGCCGATGCCGTAGGTCTGTCTCCATTCGGAAGAGACACCTCGCGCTAGGGCCAAAATTTCCTTTGACGTCGATAGCTTCCTTGGATTTCCGTCCTCGTTAGGCGCGTTGCGTAAGGGATTCCGCTTTTGTCCCAGCCACAATCTCTCGCGTAGCATCCGCAGCAGTCTATATATCAAACGTAGGGTTCTTTATTCTGGTCCGAAGGGGAAGCTGACGCAGCGGACACATTATTTCCGCGATATCCTATATATATACCTAGGATCTATTGATAGGCTATTTGACTGCTCCCTCTATATCTTCTTCCCTCGATTGATGTCAACCATCGACCATAGAGGTAGAGGGGAGCCTAGGAAGAAAAAGAGAAAGCGCTTTACCTATCTCCCCGCTACTACGGTATAGAGGTTTATCGACTAGGCCTTACTCCCTTACGTTCGGAAGTATATCGAGGAGGACTGCCTATAGCGGGTGCCCCCGTCGCAGTAGGTTAGGGAGTTAAAGGCTCAAGCCAAGGGTATCGAGCACTAGTAGCGTATCGGCGAACGGGGTCTTAAGGTTTCATTTACCCACCATATACTATTAGACGGCCTAGAACAAGTGTGGACCAAGATGAACCGTATATTCGACGACCCGAGATTCCGGCTTACCGAATTTCAAGATGCGTTCCTCTTAATCAATGCCAAGGGGTTTAAGTCGGATTTCAAGGTAACTAGATCGCTCTACTAGGCCATCGACCGATATCTTACCCATCTCGAGGGAATTTTCGACTTCGAGCTTATGCAATATATAGTGTACGATATCGCTCGAGAGGTGTATCCGCTGAGCCCTATACGATATCCGTTCGTATCGACCCAGAGCGATGAAAAGGCCGTCCTCTTCTAGAAGACTTGCTACCTACGATCTAAATATGCGAGGCTCCGTAACGGCTACTTCGGTGGCCAATCGGGGCAGATGTACCTATATTATCTATACTTCTTACGGGACACCGCCAATATAACCGTTAAGCCTCCCGTGCGGTCGCCTACGTATTGTAGTGGGTGGTATTACGGTCAGTGGTACTCGGCCTCGAAGGAGATATCTAATGCTAGGTCGCTACACACGTTCACCAACGAGGGTCTCACTAAACTGGCTATCAACGCCCGCGTATAGGCGGCTCACGCTAAGTGGCAGGGTAATAGAGATTTACGACGTCGCGAATTTTTGCTTCGGAGCTTCGTCGAGTATAAGCGCCGCATATACAACTCCTATTCAAACTACGCCAAGGTAGCGTTTACTACTCGCTGAGAAGGTCGGACCGCCCATGCTATCCTCCTCCGCCTTAGGGAGATGGCTCGTCTTAGAGAAGAGGAAGGTGGGTTGGATATTATACTTAACGAGACTCCCTCGGCCGCTTAGGCCATTCGAGCCGACAGCTGGTGCCGATTCATCTTAAACAACTACGATAAGTATATCACCGCAGTCGAAGTGGCGAGTGTAACCAGC